GGAAATAATCTATGTATTACATACACTAGTATTTTAGGAACTAATCTATGTATTACATACACTAGTATTTCAGGAACTAATCTATGTATTACATACACTAGTATTTCAGGAACTAATCTATGTATTACATACACTAGTATTTCAGACAGTTACATAGATGCTTGAACATAGATACAGATAACCAGTTTTTGTGTTCTGACCATACCAACTCTGTCGCTTAAGTGAGGGACATCATTGCAGCAATTCAGTGATGGCATATTTGCACACCAGGATGGCTTACTTGCACTCAAGGGGGTGTAAAAATATGTCATAGGATGGCTTACTTGCACTCAAGGATGACATATTTTTACACCAGGATGGCTTACTTGCACTCAAGGATGACATATTTGCACACCAGGATGGCTTACTTGCACTCAAGGATGACATATTTTTACACCAGGATGGCTTACTTGCACTCAAGGATGACATATTTGCACACCAGGATGGCTTACTTGCACTCAAGGATGACATATTTTGCACACCAGGATGGCTTACTTGCACTCAAGGATGACATATTTTTACACCAGGATGGCTTACTTGCACTCAAGGATGACATATTTTCACACAAGGGTTACTTATTTGCACTCAGAGGTGGCACATTTTCACTCACGAATAGTATAGTTGCACTCAAGGATGGCCTATTTGCTCTCAAAGATGACTTATTTTGACTCAAGAATAATTCATATTTTACTGGAAGCGTAAATACTGAGAATTAATATACACTCTGTTTATACTGCAGAATAAAGTTGGTAGAACATTTTAAGCGGGTGTTTTTTGAAAAACTGTTAAGAGCATGAGACGATTATGTTACTATGTATGAGTTTAAACGTTTTTCTTCGTCAGCAACAAATCAACAACAATAACTGTTGAAATCCGTGAGAGGGCGCCAAAAATTAAACGTACCTACATGAACGAGTACATGCGTAAGGTGGTTGTGGAAACTGATAAAGAACTAAAGTACTGGAGGCTGACTTGTAGGAAACTGTTCTCCAGTGACACAGTCTCAAAGTATGATCTACAAGGTAGGTCTTCCAGCTTCACAGTCTCGGAATGTACTCAAGAAGGTAGGTTCTCCAGTTCTACAGTTTCTAAGTGTGATCTACAAGGTAGGTTCTCCAGTTCCATAGTTTATAAGTGTACTCTACAGGGTAGGTTCTCCAGTTCCACAGCTTATATGTGTGGTCTACAGGGTAGGTTCTCCAGTTCTACAGTTTATAAGTGTGGTCTACTGGGTAGGTTCTCAAGTTCCACAGTTTATAAGTGTGCTGTACAAGGTAGGTTCTCCAGTTCTACAGTTTCTAAGTGTGATCTACAGGGTAGGTTCTCCAGTCCTACAGTTTATAAGTGTGCTCTACAGGGTAGGTTCTCAAGTTCCACAGTTTCTAAGTGTGATCTACAGGGTAGGTTCTCCAGTTCTACAGTTTCTAAGTGTGATCTACAGGGTAGGTTCTCCAGTTCCACAGTCTCTAAGTGTGCTTTACAGGGTAGGTTCTCCAGAATTTCAGGTAAACTTGTTGATTACATTTTCTTCGTCAGTCTTTGAATTTTTGGTACTTCAGTTTTGAAGAGGAACACTAAAAAATAGCCCTATAGATATTTCTATATAACAACAAAGAGGGAATCCTCATTATCCGTGGCACATGAAGTTATTTTGGACAGGATTAGAGTAAATTAATATACAGACCTTTTTATTAGCTATATTTTTTGCGCCAACAATGCTAAGTGTAGGGCATGCGTATACTCGATGCGATTTTATTACTCATCAGGATCTCTCCTAGCCTAGCCTCAAATTGAAATTCTTTTAGTCAGGATTAGAATAAATTAATCTATGAGACCTTTAGCGCGGTCAAATAGATCAATCGAAAAGGTTTGACCTCTTCTGAGTCCAAAACTGTAATCAGATCTCAAATCGGTCAAGGGATGATGGAGCTAATAGCTAAAAGTTTGTACTTGGGAAAACAACAACTCGAGGCAGTTCTATGAGCGGTTATATATAAGGCGTCTACCATTAGGAAGAGCACACAACTAACCTGTATATGTAAATCAGAATCGACAGTAGACTTGTTTTAAAATGTCGAGAGTAATTTATAAAATCCCCCAATGTCTCAGTGGTATGTATGAAGACTAAAAACCTGGTATCGATACCCGTGGTGATCAAAGCACAAATAGCCCATCTCGCAGCTTTGTGCTTGACAGTAAAAACCAAACAGGTAATTTATAAACATCCTTAAATTGATTAGTTTAGTTGTTGTCAAGCTCAAAGTTACACAATGGGCTACCTTTGCTCTGCCCATCACGGGTATGTAAACCCGCAGAGTTACCGCTGAGCCCTTGGTTTATATTGAAATAATACAGATAAAATAATCTTAGTTTACTAAACGTTCATCTACTTATAGTGTTATACATTCCATCTATGTTGACTTAATAGCTTCTCGAACACGTGAACATTATAAGTTTTAACATTCAACGTGATGAACACAGACTTTTATTGTGAATAAGAATAAGAACTTCGTTATTTCCACCGCCTCTGGTCCTTTTTGAATACAGTGTATACAGTAAAAACTCAATAAAAACTTTAATTTACTGAACTTCGTGGTAAACTAAGCTACTGGCTCCTCTTTTTTTTTTTTTTCTCTTGGTTTCTGGCAGATGAGGACTGCATGGTAAAACAGAATGAGATTCATATTTACATCCCAGTTCATGTCGACCTTCATCCTCGTTCACTTCGGTTCACTTTTGGTGAAGAGAACAAGCTACAGGCTATATGTTCCTTTGATTTATCTGATCAAATGAATGGAACTTTTACTGTGTCGAGAAATCAGGTAAAAACCCTTCTTCATCATGATGGATTAAGTAGACAGTGGAATAGAATAAGTAGACAGTGGAATAGAATAAGTAGACAGTGAAATAGAATAAGTAGACAGTGAAATAGAATAAGTAGACAGTGAAATAGAATA